AACGCGCCTGGCTCGCCCTGGCACAGCTTACCGCCCTCCTCCGCCTGGTTCGGTCCCATAGAACCTGTGGCACAGGGAGGTGGTACTGGCCAGGCCAGGGGGTGACACCTGGCAGGGATTTGTACGACTCGGGTTTGAAGTGAATGGAACAGTAAGGCTTTATAATGAGGAAAAAGTCTCATATGGGGTTAACATAAGTGAAATAAGTAAAAATCTGATGGCTGTGTAAATAGAGGGAAGAGTCAGAGGTGTGACAGGCAAATTGCTCTGTGTTCCAACCTGGGAGGGCCAAATCATGCCAAAAGAAATGGAATTTCATTTCCAAATACAACGAGATGGAATCTTCTGTGTTACACACTGGGTATGTAAAAGAGAGATCCCAGCCAAAAAAATGGTAACAATTCAGCTGATGTAAGAGACTGGTCAGCAGTAACTACCAAACAAATTCCTTTCCTGGTGTTTGTTTCACTTCCTTCTATAAAAGTCCCACCAGTTAGAAGGTAGGAGGGACGGCCTTCCCTTCTATGTATCTGTGCAGATTCAAGACTGAAGGACTAAAATCAGTCTGCTGCTGGTTTAAAAAAGAACTATGCTTGAGGAAAACATCTTTCCTGCTCAACAGGCAGTGGGGAACACGCTGTACTGCTTTGGCTTACACCAGGAGCAGGAAAGGTCTTGGCATTGTCCTGGATAATGATGCACCAGATCAGCACAAGCAGATTAGTTCTCCTTATGAGATGGGCTTTGTGTTGACCTCACTGGTCCCATAGCACGTTGTTGTGGCTCCACAGCTACTCATGGACAGGCAGCCTGGAGCTACACAGCTCTCTTTGAACTGTGCTCCCACAGAACAGGTGCTCATCCCATTTTAGTGCTGACTTGGAGTTCTATTCACAGTCAATACCCTATGCAACCAGCCTTTCTAGCTGTGAGTTACTCACGTGTTCGGGGTGAAACCACTCCTAACCCATCCAGGCAACTAGCAGCAGGTGCAGAGGATGTCCTAGTCACCTCAGTGGGGTGTTCTTTCTCAGGCTGCCAGCCTGTTTGTCTGGCATTACTCCTTTAATTGCTGACCTTCCTGTTTAAAGCAGAAAACATGACGCCCAAATGAGTATTCCTCAGGAACAAAGACTTCAGCTTGTTTTCTTTCTAAAATAACCTACAAAAATGAGCACAGAGACCCAGTGTCTACCACCTGCAGCAGGGAATGTCTCTCACTTCTGCTACAGCTTTACTGTTGCTACTTACAATTTAGTATATTTTGAATTCTCCTTGGAATGAGCTAGTTCTTACCTGTTTCCTCTCCCTCACTTTCTGAAGGCTTCCAACTATAGAAAACCTGCCTTAGCTACAGCCCAGCGGAAGAAAAGTGGCCTCAAACCTGAACTTACAGAAGAGCAAAAGCAGGAGATCAGAGAAGCTTTTGATTTGTTTGACACTGATGGATCTGGAAGCATCGACATAAAAGAACTGAAGGTTTTCAAACTCTTTTTTTTTTTTCTTGGATGAAAATACCTTTGATCTCAAAATTGTAGCTGCTTTTACTGTTTGTCCAGCCCTAACTATCTGAATATAGTTTTGGAGTATGAACAAGAGTAGTAGTTTGCTGTCATGACTGAATTTGGGGTGTACTACACAGTGTACTCTGCATGTAATGCTTCAGAGCAGACAGGTTTCTCTAACATGTGAATATTAGGTCTGATAACTGACTAGCTGAGCATTAGAAGAACTAAACAGTTGCTCTGTTTAGGTACATGCACTACACATTTTTCATGACTGAGATGGTTGGTTGTGGGAACTGAAATTTTGTTGTTCTGGGATGAATGTCAGAATATCAAATATTTTCTTCACCTCAGAACTAAACACAGATTTTACACACATTTGGGCAAGCCACAACCATATTTGCATATATATAACTCCAAAATTACCTGGTTCTAATTCAAAAAAGAACAAAACAGAGATCTGAATTGCATTTCAGTATCAATTCAGGCAGAGTGTGTGCAGTAGTACAAGGGGGAAGATTATCCTCAGTTCTCTCCCTATGTTTTCACATGGCTGAACTTTTTCTAAGTGTGAACCTTTTAATCATCTCTTTGACCTTGATTTCTCACATAAAACACACTCTGCCTCAATTTCTGTGTACATAGCCTGGAAGCAGTGAGTTACCTAAACCTGTGGCTTAGCTCAGGATTTATTGGGAAGCACTTAGGTTTGGTTAAGGAGAGAATGTTCCCTGAATGCAGATGATACAGGTTGAAATATAGTTCTTAAACTGAACTTAAACATTTTATCATTATTTAATGGTATGTTTTTCAAAAGGAAATGAAACAAGGTTTAGCACAGCTGCTTACACCATCATCCTGGCAGTCTTCTAACAGCACTGCTCTTTGGTGCAGGTTGCAATGCGTGCCTTAGGCTTCGAGCCAAAGAAGGAAGAGATTAAGAAAATGATAGCAGATATTGACAAAGAAGGGAGTGGCACCATCGACTTTGAAGACTTTTTGGCTATGATGACACAAAAAATGGTATGATTTCTTAATAGGAATTCTTTTGGTAGCATAAAAAAACATATTGAATAGGACTCTAGTTAATGTATGCTTTGCTCTTGTTTTAGAGCGAAAAGGATTCAAAAGAAGAAATCCTGAAAGCTTTCAGATTATTTGATGATGATGGGACAGGAAAGATTTCATTCAAAAACTTGAAAAGAGTTGCCAAGGAGCTGGGAGAAAATTTAACAGATGAAGAGCTTCAGGTAAATTCTGATTTGCCAGAGCTTTTCTAACAGGCACAGACCAATCCTGTAGGTTCTAAGGCTTGGGTAGAAATTTATGCCTCTACAAAAAGAGCTGAGAATTCAGAAATATGAAGAGCACTCAAAATGTTTTGACATGAAGTGCTTCTGATGAGTGGAATATCTCATGTTTAGAGTGCAGTACTTGATCAAATGTACAATGTGTTTTGTAGGAAATGATCGACGAAGCTGATCGAGACGGAGATGGAGAAGTAAGTGAGCAAGAGTTTTTGAGAATCATGAAGAAAACTAGCTTATATTAAAGTATCTGTTGCCGGGCTATAGAGCTGCTCCAAAAGATAACCTAGAAAATACTTAAAAACTGGGCTTGTGTCTCCTGCATATTTACTGCCATACAAAGAAAGTCTAAAAGGACAGATTTTTTTTTTTGGTTCATACTTACTATTTCGCTAAAAGTCTTTTCACTTGAGATACAAACATTCCCACTGCTGCTGGGAAAGACCACTCTGACTTCCCTAAGGCTACAGCTTGAAGGTACAAGCACAGTATTTTTTATTCCTTTTAAGATTTTTAGGTTATCTTTTGGTATTTGTCTCCTTTTGTTTATTTCCATGAAAGACTCCATGAAAATGAATTGCATTTCTGTTTGTATTTCTGTATGAAACACTGTTTTCCCATGGTAACTTGGTTTTAGACTTACTGGGAAGCAGATGTAGATAACCAGACTTGGTTCTTCATTTGGAGCTGTGTGCCATCTCTAGGTGTTGTTCTGTTCATCTGATCACCTGAAACCTAAGTGAAACTTGAATGTAACCGGCTTGAGTCACCAAAGTTGATTGTATAACCAGGCAACATCTTGTGCCATTGTTGTTACTCCCACAACATTACAGAGCTGCTGTCACACCAGGGTTTTAGGTACCTAAACAGTTCAGTTCTGTGGTGCCCTAGAGTAAATTTTGTCTTTGGCTGTTAATAGTTCAGTTGTAGAGAGGATTCACATCTGAAGTGAAAAAATAGCTCACCATGGACATCTGGGGAAGACTGAATATATTTAGATCCATGCAATCCAAATTTATTTCTCAGGTTTGGAGGTTTTTTTGGAGTACCTTTGTTTTCTTGAGTACTATGCTGTCAATCTAGGACTTACTGGAGAGCCACATTTCCTTCTGCATTATAATGACACAGTGGTGACACAGAACATGACATCCAGTTACGTGGTTCTGCAGGAGGGTTTATCCTTGGGTCCTGATTAGACAATCAGCTTCAAAACTTTCAAATCCTGTACAGCTCCAGAGACCTGAGAAAAATCCCCTGTTAATATAGTCAGTGGCAGTAGATGTAACCTGTAGTACTGTGAGCATTTTAAAATGTCTTAACTTTGTATAAGTGTGAAATAAAACTGTTTTGCAAGTTAAGGACTTTGTGTGCTTATTCTGAATTTTTTTTTAGAACTTATTTTAAAGTGTTGTATGGTTCAAGTACATTTTCACTTTCATTTACCTCTTCATTCTAAGCGAGTGCAGTAATCTATCACGTAATTCCTCTTCCACTCTGCTGATTAAAAGTTTCTAGTACTAACCACGTATGTTCAGAAAGGGAAATTTGAAGTTCTAGGTGATTATGGGGAATCCCAGAGCCCGTTAGAGTGACTGAACTTTTATTTTATGCTGCCACAGGAAGAGATTGATGACCGTGGTTTACCTGTGATGCATGCCACTTCTCTCTTCCTGTTCTAAGCCCATTACCTGACTTCTGAAGGGAGGAAAAAGCCACACAATCATACCTACCACATATACTGAAATGATGAAATGTTATTTCTGGTTTGACCATTGCTCTCTTAAGTCTGGAATGTCAAGCAGTGGCTGAACTAGCACAAAACTTGCAAGTACACTCATGTAAGGAGCCAATGGCAGAACCCAGAGTTAGGTTTGTGTGAGGAAAAGGTGCTGAACTGTTGAGGAATTTCACCCTTTTTTACTGTGCTGGAGAAAGTGACTCAGATTAGGCACTTTTGCTGGGCTCTGCTCTAGTGTCTACTTGAGCAGCTTACCCTCAGTGAAGGGTCTCACCAGAGGATATGGAACCCTGCATCCCTCTTCCCCTTCATGCCGACATGGAGAGTGGGTTCTTACCTGGCATTTGGAAGTTCCCCTTGGATGGCTGCAGTTCAGACACTGCAATAGGTGCACCCAGCTGAGATCCTTCCTCTGCAGCATCAGCAAAGCCTGGTTTTCAGTCTGAGTGTTCATTCTAGTCAGATACTGTACAGAAAGGAAAGTGGAACTGCAGTTTGTATTTGGCAAGCACCGAAATAGCAAAACATTGTTATCTTCTTGGGAGATAATATTGCAAATGACTTCGCAGGAAATACATTTTTAAATGAAAATGTCCTGGGCTTTTAATAAAATGCAAAACAGTTCAAGAGAAAAAAAATGTACCCACATGTTATATTCCAAAATACTGCATGGCAATTTTATCTCCCTTGTGCAACTTCTAAGTTCTTTATCATCTCTCAGGCCCACAGTACAGTTCCACAATCTTGCCAATCCCACATTAAGGCAAATCTTCCAGTTTGCTTTAGGATAAAAAGACCCCAGGAACTGCCAAGGAGTGCTGTGCTCTCGGTTCACGAGGTGAGTTTGTTTTCAGAGCAATAAGCACAGGCTCCGCGTCTAACACTGCAGAAGAGTAACAGCTTCTTTTCAGGTACACCTAATCTTGGCACTTAAAAGAGGATGGGGGAAAGCAACAGAAAAACATTTGTGTACTTGCATGTGCCAAGAGTCTTACTAACAGAGCCCAAATAGTTCCACAAACTGATGAGGCATTTAATATTAAAATATTTAAATTGGTCATTTAGAGGTTTTGAAGAATAACTCTCACATCCAGCAAACTCTGTCTGGTGAAGTCACACCACACTTCTGAAATGTTAAGGATTAATTCCCTGGAAACCTCCTCACTGAGTTAAATACTACACTACACCTGCTTTAAACACTCCTGGACAGCATAAGTGGATTTTGAGAAAGGCTTGGGCAGCACAAAGTGCTCTGGGCCAGAACTCGCCGTTGTCACATTTGACACATGGAATTGCTGTCAGAACACTTTTTCTTCTGGCATGGGTTAAATTTCAGTGACCCCAACAAGGACTCTACAGTACCACACTGCACAAATCCATTCTCTGTGCTGGCCAGTACTTTTGGCAGCCTTGGCATGCAGATCAGCATGAGGTATTGCCTCTAGATGGTGCATTTTTTGCAGACATCCATTCTCCCAAAATACCAACATGAAAGCCAAATCAGGACCATTGAGACTGCATCCAGTGGCCTTCCTGCCCCTTCAGAACTTACTCTCCCTGATGTATTTGTTTGATAATTGTTTCCTTACACATATAAAAATGAAGATAAGAAAAATACTGCTCCCAAGACACTTCAAAACACAAGCTTTGTTTCAAAGCCTAGTTACAGATGCCAACAGAAACCAGCTACAGCTGTCTGATGCATTTTAGAGAAATCAGGCAGGGAGAGCAAACAGTCAGAGTCGGGGAATGTTCTTCAGACATCCTTCACCATGAAGGAACGACCCACGTGCCTCTTGGCACAGGGCAGCAAACAAACTGCTCGGTCTGCAGGCTGGGATGAGCCTTGACACTTGAGAAAAGAAAGCCTATGAGGACAATTCTGTAAAGACAGCTTCCTTTTTGTCATCTGTCTCAATATACATAAGGACTGATAGATCTGAGAGTGTGGCAGTCTCGCTAGAGGGCATCCAGTTACTAATGTGTGAGATGCGTGATGCTTTGATGCATGTTTCCCTCCTCTGTGGCTTTCAGTGACAATGGAAAGTAAGGCTAACAAACACCATCCAGCTGAGGTTTCAAATACATGGTTGGATACAGAATTATTTTCTCTGAAAAAGAGAACACAAGACTTCTCACACAACTCGTGTGCAAAATGCTGTAATTATTAGTCAGTTGTTCAAAGCTGAGCCCCCAAACCACACTTTCTGAAACTCCCACTCTGTATTAATAATTACAGACACACTCTCAGGAGAGCAGAGAACTCAACCTGCCTTTCACACAGTCCCCCTGAGTGCTCTGACCACTCTGTAGAGCTCTTTTCTCCTTTTGGGATTACTGCTATCAGATGGAACAATTTCCAGCATTCAGAGCCAGACTCACTGCAGGATGCTTGTGGCCCTCCCTGGGGATATAGGAAAACCAGAATTGTGGCCTTGCTTCAAGTCAAGAGGAACATGGATTTGAGCTTTAGACACTTGTCCCCAAGGTGAGTGTGTTGACCTTTAGGAGACTCTCTGCACTGGGATGTGGCATAATCCAAAGGCCTTGTGGGGACCTAAAACTACAGCTCTTGACCTGACTGCCACTAATTACTAACCTTGTAATTGCTCAAGTAATTTTTTTTTAATTTGCTTGTCTGAATTAGATTTGACACAGAGATTATTAACAAAGCAAAACCTTGTCAAACCTGATCTGCAAACGTGCAAAATTCTGGCCGCAGCCATAACAGTTTCACATGCATTTACTACTCCCCTCATGCTGGATGCATGTGCATGCACACACCTCCTGTATATGCCTGTGCAAACCTTGCAGTGTTACCATTATTAGAGTGTCATGTACTTTTGACATGGAAAAAGGACAAATATGAGTTTAGAAGCTTCACTTGCAAAGAGAGAGGGATTTGCTGTAGTGTTTTAGTCTCACATAGGACAGGCTTTGTGTGCTGTAGGGTTATCATGGAGCAGAAATCTATCCCTTATTCCCCTGGAATGAAAATCCCACCAGGTTAGCAGGGGCTGTGGGAACTGGCATGGGAATTCTCTGTACCAGGTTTAGGGTGTGCAACAAACTGGTGCAGTCCCAGTGAGTTTGTTCTTGTTCTCAAGGCCACTTTATTTCCTTTGAAATCTTCTGACTGGTTCTAGTAGTGATCTGAGTTTCACTATAAAAAGAATCCCCTCAACATTAGATAAAGCAATAAAAATAGGTTTCCATAGGATGGTTCCTTCTCCACCTGCCTCTGCTCAACACTCTCAGCACAGAGAAGGCAGACAGATGCTAACCTGTAAATTCTTTTAGACATCCAAATGAGAAGTACCATGAAAGCTCTAAACATCAACGAAAAACTGATGGCAAACATTGCAAATCTGATTTAGAAACACTAGAAAGTATTTCAGTAAAAAAAAGCAACATTTTACCAACTTCTGAAAACATGGTATCAGATCATCTAAGTTTCAAGTCTGTTCTCCCCATGTTTCCTCTTTAGAGAGCTTAGGCCATGAGCAGCCAAAAAAAGAAATCCACAGAAGCAAAGTTTCCACACATCTTTTGAATGCCTTCTTTAAATCAGTCCTACACCACTGTGGGGCTGAAGATAATTGCTGCAGAATAGCTCCTTTTGGGAAG